GAACTGCGGACCCATAGCGCCTCTAAAAAGAGCACATATGGAAAGAATCTCGTTACAATAACGGGTCCCGTTGACTGAACCTGCGTCGAAGATGTGAAGGTCTGTACGACTACCAAGACGATGCCTCCCCAAACGAGAACACCGCCACCTCCATACCTGTCCCTTTCAATGATGTTCGAGGGATGATTGTGGCTTGGCTTCCCCGCTCTCTCCAGATGAGTATGCGATGAGAATCGCTACTCAGACTGAATCTGCTCTCATCTGTAAAGAGTACTCGTCCCCATTCATTGTCTCTCCAATTCCGGTGTTCCCGGCACCACAGAGAACGCCTTCTCCGATGGGCAGGCGTTAGAGGTACACACCGTACAGGGCGTCGTGCAAACAAACCACCACCGTGCAGTCTTCTGGCCACGGTAAAACGCGATATCGGTCGTCCAGTCGCCTGTGTCGTGTGTCTAGCGATTTCTCCGCTGTCTGCCGCCTGTTTCTTCTGGCCTGTAAGGCAATATACCGGTCATCTGCGGGTGTGGTTCCTCGTGGACCACACTACTAACCCCCGGATAGCTGTTTCCTGTAGTTTTAAATTGTCTCCAAAGTCGTGAAACGATGCTGTGAGCAATTCCGAACTCTGCAGCCACACTTGTCACACTGGCGGCCTTCCTCCAACTTCCCAATGACGACCTCGGGTAAAAGCATCCAGATGTCGTCTAACAGATTGATTATTCGCCATTTCTCGTTGAGGCAGCAACTCAGGTGTGATTTTAACTGCTATACGGCGTGCAATCTCTTTGCCAGAAATACTGATCTTTCACACCAACAACATGCTTTATACTACTCAGACACTCCCCCATTACGTCTCTACCTGCATATCTGCGCAAGTGCTACCGTACATCACCTTACTTAATCTCCTGATTGGTCTTTCTGTCCGCTCTGCCTCTTCATTCAGCTGATATGCTAATTTTTCGACTTCGTCCTTAATTTTTGCACACCAATGTATATAGATTAGGATGAGGCTTTTTGTATAATTGAACCTTCTAATTTAGTTTTGTAAGATATATTTATACATATTTTTTGTTTTTATTTCACTACAGGCCTATAAAACATATATATCAGAGAGGGAGCCAGAAGCAAGGCCGCTGGCTGTATCTGACTTCACACCGGATCAGTTATTTTGGATAAGGGCAGCGCACGTAAGCCGTCTTCTATTAACCCTTCTTTGCCTGTCGTGTGTCATGTGATACTTCTTTCGCAATTTGAAGCAAACTCCAATGATGGAACACAGCAATAATTTTTATTTTACACTCAAAATGGCGACATACAAACAAGAAAAGAAAACAAACTGAAACTTATTTAAAATAAAATAATTACATGCTTCGTGCGAGAACCGCATACGGCTTTCGTACCTGCGCTTCAATATTGACAGTAACCTGTACATTATTATTCATCTATTTCAAATGCACGAGAGATTAATAACAATATTAAATCTGTTGCAACCTCTTCTCCAACGGAGAGACATTTTCCGAAGGAAAATTTCAGTAAAATTCGAAAATTTATGAGCTTGGCCTTCTCAGTTATTTTAAGAGAAGGTAATTTCTCTCATAAGTTCCAAACTTTAGACCAAAATTTTAAGCTTTGACCAAATAATTTTACATCAGGTTTAAACAGGAAGAAAATAGACAGTATTCAAATTATAATTTAAATAGGAAGAAAATAGAGAGTATTCAAATTAGTCTTCCTTTTTTTTTTTTTTTCTCTTGATGGCGCCTAGATCTCTTCCATGTTGGACTAGTTCATCGGCTATAATTCACAGCAAACCTTTCCTCAGTTCATCTGTGCCTTTCGAATAATATTCAATTGCCATTTGCTTTCAGCAATTGTTTTCTTCGTCAATTATTAGCGCCTTTGATATTAAATCGAAAGCCGAAAGATGATGATAAAGCTGCATTGTAAAAGGATTCTCAATATTAATTTCTTTGTCGTTTTTCAAATTTTCGTAAATATCTTCGAAGTTACGTGCGATCGATTTATAAGTAGATGTGACAGTTTTCTGCACAGATGTGCACAGACCATGGGAAAAATAAAAAAGTTCAGAAAACAAAAGATCCACCAAAAAAAGTAAAGGGAAAAACAATAAAATGAATTTTTCTTTTCGACGTTTTATTTAAATGGAAAATTTTTCTTGCATATTTAATTAATTTTTCTTGCACTTTCAGGAATCATATATACGCCATTACTTTCAACCTTTTTGAGTCAATGTATAATACTTTCACGAGAGATTCATTTTCCACGTTTAATTCCGGTAATTTAACTTCTTCTTCAAAGGCATCTCTAGATGCTTCAATGTCTACCTCCATCGGTTCCAAGAGCTTCTCTTGATCGCGTTCAGTTATTTCTGTTTTCCTTTGAGCTTTAGTAGAGACGGCATTAACCTGGTGAGGACGACTATCAGGTTCTTTTCTTTGTTTATTCAACAGTGCAAAAGTTCGATTGCCTAATAAATACCTTCTTTTGTCGAGTTCATTTCTAATAATAGCAGCCTTAGTTATTACTCGCCCAAGATCGCAATCTAGTTCGACCTCAACTAATGGTAAACAGGTTGGATTCCAATCTAAGCTGTTATACCAACGTATTTTCACCTGTCAGCATTTCCGTGATATATTTGCGACAAACTGTATCAATATTAGCACCTGAATCCCTTAATATAGGAATTTTATGACCATTCACGTAACCCAAACTAGTATAAGGTATTTAAGACCTCATTGTCTAAAACTTAAGAATAGTACTGAATCTTCTGCTAATCTTAAAAGACTTAGTGCAAAACCAGAGGATAAATTTCTATTAAGTCTTTTAAGATTAGCATAAGATTCAGTACTATTCTTAAGTTTTAGACATTGAGGTCTTAAATGTTGATAGAATCAACCCTGATAACATTGTGGCGTCTTTCGTTTTTCATATTTATCATCTATACGTGGACTTCTAGGTCTGTGGAATCAGCTTTGCGAATTAAATCCTGATGACAATTTTTTTTTCAGTTTCAGTTTTATTTTTATTATCTGAACTCACTTTACTTTGAGTTAGTGCATTGTATCTTTTTTTCTGCTAATCCACTGAAAGCCTTTTTTTGAAAGTTTCCGTGAACGTTTTCATAGGCATAAGGTTTTTCAGCTAATTTTTTAAATGAAATCATCTCTACCAACTCATCAAGAAAATCATCTTGAAGTTCAGGAGGAACTTGACGTCTAAGTTGGTCAATCACCATCAAATCTATCAACTGATCAAAAGTCTCAACTCCTAGACCAGACACCCATTCTTTGCAATAATTTTCTATTTCGTAGTTGGAATCCACCCATGTGGATTCGGTACTCTTTTGATGTTTTATAAATTTATGTTCCTTGGTGATGATATATAAAAAAGTTTTCTGATAATAAATCATTAATTTATTACTTGGCAGATTTAGTGCAAGTATTCAGCTTTTTAAATTACTCATAATTACTTGTTTACTTATAATTTATATGTATGTAGAAAAAGAGGGATAACTACATAGATGTTAACGATAAAAGAAGGTTCATAAAAAAGTAGGTGCACTCGAGGCCTTTTAACACATTGAACTCTTGTTAAAATAACGCTTGGGTAAAAGTTTACTATTGGGTGCCCCTTGTTTCTTGACGATTCTTTTTTGACGCCAAGATCGGCGCCAGGAAGGCACAATTTCAATATATCCGCTACACAAAGCCAAAATAAGAAGTCAAAGCACAAACTTTGTGTCCATGTACACATCGATCTGTTTCCACTTAAAAAAACATCCTAGAATTGCACAAACTAGGCATTGCGCACTGCCTTAAATTTGTCCATGTACACATCAATCTACTTTCATTTAAATAAAATTAGGAAGCTAAAACGATGTTAAAACTATGATGGTAACCAGAAGTGGGGTTTCATCACCAAAATTTTAAAAAATTTGTCGCTAATCGAAGGGGCACCCAATTCTACATTCATGCCTAACGCTTGTCACTGATGTACACTATTAACGCAGTGCAAGTTATGCGTCCTTTCTTAAGTTTGTGCGCGTTTTACGTATTTATAGCAAATAAGTGGTATGAAACAAAACCAGCTAAATATTGTTGCGTGCGTACGGTTTTGTTATGAATTGAATGCAGAAGTCCGATGAAAAGTGAATAAAATTAATTATTATTACAACAAATAAAAAAAATGCTTAAAGTTCGTCAGATATTCGTACAATATCTCAATCTCACAGCAGTTATCTTTTAAATTACTAAAAAGGTTCACAGAACTTAATTCATACAGAGAAAGCTAATCCGATTTCACCGCGAATTCGCTACAGTAAACAACAGCAATATTCTAAACAAACTCATAAAGAAACTCACAAATTGAGAGGTTTTCCTCCTTTTATAAGCTTTTTAAATCACGCACGAGTATATTCTGGTATTTTCTCGAAAAGCAAAAGGGTGCAATTAGAGATATCTATTTATTAAAGGCGCGTGCTCTTCTATTTTTAATTTTTCCGGCTTAGCTTTCTCTTCAACTAAGTCGCGTGCAGTATTGCACGGGGAAATGCAACGATTCTATTTAAAACAGCAATCGTAACAATATTAACAGAGCAAGAAGGGAGGGGGGAAAGTGAAGTTTTAGAAATCAGGTTTGGTTAACTTCATTTTCAGAGTTCTGATTCGTTGCTAAAGTTTTTTTTTTCCGACTTTTTAACATTATTATAGACTGAAGTGTTTTTTAATTGCCTATGCTATTAGCATTATACAATAATCATATGACATGATTTAACTGTGAAATGAAGAGTTTAGAAAGATTTATTATAATATGAATATGCATAGTCATCTGTTATTCTATTAACTTTACTAATAAATTTCTATGTGATATCTTTTGTTCTTGTCGTTGGTATAATTTTAACAGCCAATAAATAAAAAAAATCTGCAAGTTTCAGATTTTAAATTACGTCCAAAGGGTTGTTTTTTTAACGTTTTGTGTTGTAAGACTTTCACTAGTGTATTTCTCAGTTACTGTAGAAAGTTACGTATCTTAAGAACTAGATAACGAATAATCGCTTAAGTTCGTGTGACAAGAAACAACAACATGGAAGGGTAACTAACCCTTTATTATTCCAATAAGATTTAACAGAACTCCGTCTTAGAGTGTACAATCAATGCCGACACTCGGGCTTGAACTTAAGAGACTAAGAATTAAACTAAAACTAAGATTAAATAAAAAAAAATATAGCCGAAGCTATCAAGTTTCTAATGCAGTCGGCCCCTTACACACCAGATGACTGCGAAGCTATCAAGGGCCTGAGTACGGGCCGAGCGTAATAACAGCTTTGAGAGAGAGAGAGAGAGAAAGAGTGGTCAAAAGGCAGACGCGCGTAAATCAGAAAATCAGAAACTCCGATTCTCTCTCACTAAGACCAAAGAACTTCGCGGTTAAATACCGCTCTTCCTCATTATGTATTCAGACCGGAAGTAGTAAGTTGAAGTTAAGAATTTGACAGGAAAGAAACTTAAAATTTAATTGTTAATCAAATTAACATAATCCTTACAGTGTGTTACCTTTATTTATTAAATATCATGGTCTTTGCACTTAAATAAAATTCAGTTCAATGGCAATGTCGCAAAATAATTTTAAAATGAGCATATCTTTAGAATTTCTGATACACAGTTCCGCGCGCTGAAGATAAAAAGGTCTTTTTTTCCCCCGTAGAGTGTTGCTATTGCTCGCTTTGAAATCCTTGAGTTTGTTAATCAAAAATTCCTTAAACTTTTACAAAATATGAAATCGATAATAAAGCAAATTCCAAATTTCAAATTTGGTCTTCCACATGCCCATATTTGTAAGAGGATTACGTCATTCAAAATTCGATCGATGTATGTACCGTCGTTTTATCACAATGCGAGAAATAAACATACATTTATGCAGATTTTTCATTATTTAATTTCTTCAAATATAATGCAGGACTCTAACATTTGGTAGCAACAGTTTGAAAAGTATAGTAAACCAACGCAAAATCGCAAAACCAAAACAATAGTCCTTCAGGGACAAAGCCCCCTTTGGACTAACAATGTATTCCCTCAGTCTATTCGAATCACTTTGTGTATAATATTTTTTAAATATAATATTTGTAGTAAATTTTGCTAACTCACTTTCAGATATGGTGTGAGAAAATAGATCCTCATCATTTGCTCAAAATTATTCGCACAGGATCACGCATCCCACAAAAATTTAGGTAAGTAAAATTAAAATCTTTTTAATTTAGTTGGGGGTCTCCGAGATGAGATACGTGTGTTATTTTTCATTCCAAATTATTGCTTTTAGTATAAAACATGTTTGCATTTGCAGAATTATCCCAAATATTTAATGCATATTTAATTTTTTTTAATTATTATCCAAATAAAATAAAAGGTTTTGCAACAAATTTAAAGTATTAAAATGTTTGGACGAATTTAAAATACTATTCCTTTTGTTTCAGAGTGCAGGGACCCATGTCCAATCTGCCCGAGTTTGCCCAAGACTTTCAGTGTACAATATTTGATGACATGAATCCAATAAGCAAATGTGAAATTTGGTAATAAAAAAATGAAGCAAATGTAAATTTCAGATAAGAGTCTGTTGGTATATTAGTATTATTACAATAATATTATTATTAGTAGTACAGGTATTATATATGATAATTGTAAACAAAGCTACACGCATAATTAAATAAATTTGTTGAAATAAAATATTCCTTTTTGCATCCTATAACTTCGTTAATATTTTTATTTATTGTATATTTACCGTTAATTCCAGCGTTTTACAGCAAGAAGAAAATTGCTGGAGTATGTAGGAAAGGAAAAAATAAATCTGAAATTTAAAAGTTTCACACTAATACACAGAATTAAAAAAAAAAAAAAAAAAGAAAAGAAATTTCATGCGAATATTGAATTTCACCTTAACCTGAATATGCAGTTTTCCTGTTCTTTTGGTACATATTATATACATTATGTTCGTAAGTACTTATTAAAATAAGCTAAAAGATTCCTGGCAGAACATTGTTTGCTCGTCGAAGAAAGGTATCCAGCATTTATCTCAAGAAATAAGTTTTCTTTTAAAAACAATTTCAAGCCTGATTTGAATATCTCTCGCATTTAATTTTCCAATTCCCATCATCTTTTACTTACTATACATTATGCAAGCTGTATTTAAAAGTGATAAATCGAATAAGAAAAGAATTATTAACAGAATACTTTTAATCGCGTGCAGTGTGCTTGTATAATTAAAAATATGGAAATATTCTTTAAAAAATTTTAATTCAAAGACTAATTTTACCTTAATTTATATTTCTAGCTGATGTATTTCTCTATTACTTGTTATATGAACCTTTATTAGTAAATTTTTATTATTAGAAGAAAACAATTATGGGTAGAATATTTTTGCTTTTCTGCTTTCTTTACGAGAAAAGAACTTTGTAGTTTATCTCATTTGAAGAGCAAATAACTTTTTTAAAGAAGATTGAAAACCATGATTTAATTTTTATTGATTCCGAATTGAGGTGTTGCCTCACTACCTACTATGCACATTGCATTTGCATATAATAATAATAATGAAAAGACTACTAGGGAAATATTTTTGCTCGATGAAAAGAAGGACCCATTGTTGGCTGTCAACTGAAAGGCAAAAACATATGTTTAAAGAAAGCATCAATCACAGGTTTATTTCAAAATTGTAATACCGCCAGGCAATTGTGATTTTGAATATCCTAAACGAAATGTCTACACTTTCTCTCACCCCAACACTCACTTTTATTATCCGGTAAAGATATCAATTATACATCAATATAGATCGCCAAAGTTGTTGGTAAGAAAGAGGGTTGTTGGTATAAGGATGCGCATTTCTACTCTCTACTACTATGCAATATGCCATATTTCTTAAAATATGCAATATTTTCTTTTTCATTAGAAGGCAAACTCCGCATTTGGATTACGATTATTCGTCTCAAGAAAAAGCGGCCGAGCGGTAAAGTCGATGAACACTGGTAGTTCGGTCCGAGGTGCGAAGCCGAAAGGGTGCTCAGGGCCAGCCCATTCGTTCCATTTGGGTTTACACATGTGTAACGTGTATACGAGCCAGTTTCCCTTAGAAAGTCCTCCACGAAGGCATCCCTCCCCTTAGGCAAATAGCCCTCGAGGCTTTGCCATAATCACACACACGCACATGTCTCAAGAAAAAAGAAACCACACACTAATCACAAACAAAAAACTCAAACACAACGCTTGAACTCCAAACTCGTGCGCAGTTAGTGGGTAACACGTTTTTGTAAAATTCTAGTTTGCTTAATTCCGCGACACAGTGCTTTGCCGGGTAATTCTTGTCATGGTTAGCTGGCTAATGCCATAATACCGTAATTACATTTACACATTGCAATTGACTTTCCACCACAGAATGTTCTTGCTCCGTGTTCACCGCTGGTTTTTCCTTACTTTGAGACGTCTCTGCCTCGTACCCTTTCGACATTATAACCTCTCTTCATTTTCCGAATAATATTGCGGAGGTGAAAGATATTGTTAATATATTTGGGTACGAGGAAGATGACTTATATTGTAAAGATTCTCCTGAGATCTTCCTCACACTTAGAACTACTGAGGGCCTGCAACTTAAAAAATGCTGTAGGAAACCGTCGATGCAAAATTACGAAAGGCTTTCTAGCGGTAATGGATAAACATTGCCTTTTCTTGATCAGTTTAGAGGTCCTAACAGGTCAGATATTTTCAAGAAATACACACATGATATCTCTTCTCTCTAACCGAGGAGGAAAAACAATAAATTTAATAAGCCCGCCTCTTCTAAAGTTACACCATAGCTACACCACAGCAGCTGAATTCAGATAAAGAATGGATCATACCGACGAAATTTGCCAAGACGACACAAACCATGTTGCTGTTCTAGAGTCATCGGATAACAATAAATTCGACACTTAGCTGCGGTTCCCCCCCCGCAGGATACTAAGATAGATTTTCAAGAGGAAAGCATGATTGTCATCCTTGACAATCAAGAAAATAATGGCAAAGAAAGAATGCCCCTTTTTTGTGTTTGGAAGAAACTAAGAAGGCATTTTTCCGGCATGGTATAAAAGAATATTCCGGAACGCTGACAAAAGATAAAAACCACTCTTATATTTGGAACTGCAGCAGATAGTTCTCACGACATTTGATGAAAAATGAACTGCTTATTAGCACATTTAGGACTAAAGGAGAAAGACCAATAAAAATGAGTATCCGAGTACTTACCGCAGATTCTGACCATGTAGGCAGTAAGATGGAATTTTGTATAGCAAGATACTCTGTGGGAAAAGTCAAACTATTTACTAAGAAAATCCATGATACAGAAGAGATGCTTCTTGTCTTTTTTTTGCCTCGGTAAAAAGCGATGACGCAAGAATGAATATTTACAAAGTGAAGACTATCTTGAATCTGAAAGTCTCCATAAGACGATGTCGAACGAACAAACGCATTATGATATGTTTTCATTGTCAAAGATTTGGAAATGGCCAAATCTTTTGGAACAATCCACAAAAGTGCTCTAACAGCCAGGATCACCTGACTAATATGTGTAGGCTTCCTGATAATGAAAGCCCGACATGCGTTTGATGTAAGAAAGACCTGGTGCTTCCTCGAAATCCTTTGATCTTTGCATAAGAATTCACAAAAGAAACCCAGATGTAAAGCCTTTACCTGAGACGGGAAATCTTTCCATTAAAAATGCTCCTAATAGGAGGAAATTACCTAAAGACAACTTACGCACTGACCACTGAAGCAGCGAAACAGCCGGACTTTGAATTCTCAAGACTGATATTTTCACTAACTTTATTACTAAATTTTTGGAAATTGCTGACTTATGTAAGAAGATATAATCAGTAGAAAAGTTAAAACTGGCACTACTAATCATGGAAATTTTTCAAGATGCAGAAGATTAATCTTCTGCTTCTTACTTGTAAGATGATTTTCTGATGATAGAGCTGCTGCGGTACATGGGGCAACTTATCTGACAGTACGACTCTTCATAGCTAAGATGATTTTATGTTTTCTTTCCAATACAGTATTTTGTTCTAGACTTTTCACCTCTTCATCTTCTAGACTACCCTACACAGGAGTTTGATTCAGATTTATTTATTGTCAGGCACCATTAGTAGCTTAATCTTCAAGAGACGGAACATGTCGAGTAAAATAACTCGATGGTAGAGTTGGACGCATACAGGAATGCAACAAAAGAGGCAATGCAATAAATATTATGCTGGGGACACTTAAGTTGTGATACGATTGAACGAACATAAGAATGACGTGTAAAATAAAAGGATTTTACACAAGAACAGATGGCAGTATTTATGTTATACATTAGTTTTAGTACCATAATAAAATCAGCATTAAAAATTTCAGATGCATTAATACGAATATTATAGATTCACAATAAAGTTCTTATGAAACAGTTATGTGATATAAGAGCAATAGATTAGCAATGAATACTCGTACTTTTAAAAACTTAAGTTCTATTCAAAATTAGAGACTTAAAATTAAACATAAAATAACTTACAAATAATAAAGAGATTAATGTTGCAATATATATAGTGCAAAAGATATATAAATAACACCTTATAGATTAAACATAACATGCACTAGTTTATCTAAACCTATTTTAAAATTTCTGTAGTTGAAAATATGTGCTAGTTTATATGATTTTATTTTTAAAAATTAGGAAGGCATGCATTCTTAGATGGAATACTAATACTCTTTCTTAGTCATATTTTATTAGTTCTATGTGCTATAAAATTCTTTGCTTTCCTAGCTTCGAAAGATACATTTTTATGCATTGCTTAAAACAATTAGGAGATATCAAGATTTTATATATAAACTGTGCATGAGGAAAAATATTTTCTGATATAAAATCACTACATGATGTCTCGTAAGTTATGAAAAAGGTAAAAAAGAATATTAGGCATAGAAAAAGAAAAATTAAATTCTATTCTCGCTTTTAAATCAAAAACTAAAAATTTACAGCTTGAATATGTCTTAAAAAGAAGAAACAAGTGCGATATTAAGGATTAAAAAAAGGTTTAATAACGGATATTGTTTCTCCTAACCTAAAACAAAGTTGCATTCTAGTAAGATATCAGTAGTGTTATCAAAAAGGAACTAGTCTGGTATTACTCCTACAGTGGAGTGGTTTTCCTCTGCTGAATCGTATGTAGTGGTGAGAAGTAACCAGTGACTATTCTCCGAAAAATGCCCTACAGGTATTTGATTGGATTTATATTTGGGGAATATACTGACTAATCCTTTTGTGAGATTCCATCCTCGAAAATGAAAACGTCCACTAATCAAGCACAACATGGTCTGACTTTACCATACACAAAAATGAATTTATTCCCTATTGTGCAGCGTAAGGACTACTAAACTGTATCAGAATCTTATCTCCCTACGGCTTAAGGGGACTCATACACCTTAAAACCCATAAGATGTTCGAATAGGTGACTGTTGCAAGAATTGGATAATTACTATCTAAAACAATTACTACCACTTTAAGCTGACTACATAATATAGCGCTTTCTGAACTGTAATCAGAAGTGTGTGTGCCACAGAGTCTTTAATAATTAATCCGCTTGGATAAATTTTTCGTCATGTTTCCAATTGCGCGCACAGTTTTAAAACATTCCGTTAAATTTAATTTTCATAATTTAAATATAGTTTTATAACATTGGAAAATACTGT